TGAAGTTACATTAAGAAACATAGGATGGAAAATTTGAGGCATATAAAGTTAATTTCAACTTACATTTCATTCTCATATCACGTCTTTCTTCGTTTATTACGGTTTTAAACAAGGGCTTTGGGAGTCATTGGAGTAAAAAATTTGGTTTCACTTTACCAATGACCCTAAAATCTGAAGGTAGTGTTCCAGCTGTATTTATGCCAACGGCCGGAATTATCAAGGTATCAGTTTGCCATCAGCTGAACTTTCGAAGGTTATTTACCGAAATTAAGAAAAATAATTATTCATTTCAGGGATGGTGGAAAAAAGGTGTGTTTACAACTATACTTTTGGAACGCAACCATGAGCTTTTCCCGACACTTCCAGAACGTGTGGACAGTGGACTTATTTCAAACCAATTCCGAATGCATCTGTTAAGTGAATTTTGATGTATTGCATAAAATAGCTTTATCAAACACTATAAAGACTGGGGGAAATGGAAATAATGAGAAAATATAAAATAATGAAAATTTCACGCAGCTGTCAAAAGTAGACGCGGGCGGGTGTTGGTAAACTGATACCTTAATTTAATTCCATTGGCCTATAACATGGCCTTTAGATCGACAAGATTCAAACATTGTTATTAAATTAAGCGGTCGCGCCTCGGTTTACCCGTGCGGTCTTCGATTTTAGGATTTGCTCGGTGTGGATGTCTTTTGATCGACTTTCACCAAAGTCCGTCAGCTTACATATGAGTGGCTTAATGGAAGCCATGCATTCGACTGCTCGTGTATCTGTGAGACGATTGTAATGGTGGTTAGACACCAATATATTCTCAGGTTTTAGGTCACGGTGGGCAATCCCTTTCTCGTGCAGATACTTCAAACCCAACGCGACGTCCAAGGAAGAATGAATAAATATCGAGCAATGCATGCGCATGCCATGGCAATCTGATTGTTCGCAAACTGCCAAGAAATTGGCTAAGCTATGCACAGTGATGCCGTCGTTTCCGATTGGCGTAAAATCAAAATACACATATTCAAGCAACACAGCGTACTTGTCCAGACAAACTCCTTCAAACCTGACAACATTCGGGTGTTGCAACTTGCTAAGTAGTCGTGCTTCTTTAACCAGCGACTTCCTAGCTTCATTGTCAGACGCTAATAGCTTCTTCACAACAATCTTAGCTCCATTGTCCGGCAGCTTCGCGGTAAAAACAACCGCGAAACCACCTTCCCCAATTTCGTCTTTTTCAAGTAAAGAACTATACGAATAGTTGGGCAATCCTGACGTATCAACAGTTTCGCAAGTAGGTTGGCTTGTTTTCCCCAAACTGCCAAAAAAAGACACTTGGCTTCGCTTGCCTCACAAACACAACCGTGCTGTGGCAGTTAAAGATCGAAAGGAAGTTTCATGTCAAAGTCTATGCTGACAAAAGCTATATCGTATTACCTTAAATAGCCGTGCGCAAATATACAAAGTGGACATTGTCACATTGTCCTGTACTTCGCAAGCTTTGTGCTTTGCAATTTTCATAAGAATTCATCTTAATAAGACTCGGCATTTGGGGATTATATGCATGTCGCTGATGTAGACAATCCCTGTTTTAAAATTGACCTTTTTAAGCGGAAGTACAGATAAAAACTAATGTAACCTAGCGTTTGTAAACAGCCTGTAAACTACTGGTTTCGTATATAGTTGGAAACAATCTCGTTCCCCGAGCCTGCGATCCTCGGGAAGGAACGCGAGGCTCTGGGATAATCCGTTTCAGGGAGGAATCTGATTGGCCATTGAAATGGAATGCGTAGTTCAATCTTAGCCAGGATTCTTGGCTTCCGGTAACGGATTATCCCAGAGCCTTCGATTCCTTCCCGAGGATCGCAGGCTCGGGGAACGAGATTGAGTTGGAAACTAATTGTTTGTGAGTTTAATACCAAATCATATATATTAATTAATTGGACATTTGATATCGGCAAAGCGGGTCTATATCGGAATCGTGCTGTCACAGTAATGAGTATTTCTCTCAACTTTAGTATTGTATACATTTATAATTTAATCAGATTGAGAAAGAATGCGCCTCGATTACATCCGACGAAACAGTTGGACTTTTGTTAAAATACGACATTGGCAAGTACGTTAGTAAACCTTATGTATTAATATTTCTTCGTACGAGTTGTTTTATCGCGTTCAAATACTCACTCGATTACGCGATATTTGCGCAAATGAAATTGGACCCGAGTTTAAGCAGATGTCTAACGTATTTAATTAGAATTTTCAGCGTTACAAAGGTTCGAAAAACCCCGCATTTCCACAATTTAATATTTTATCATTTTTTCGACAATTTATTACGATTAATAATAGTCTTATAACATTTCCTAAAAAACGCGGATTTGATCCCCCCCCCGTCCATCCGCTTGTCCCCCCCGTCCGTCCGTCCGCCATCCGTCCGTCCGTCCGTCCGTCCGCCATCCGTCCGTCCGTCCGTATCCGCGTTTTATCCTTACCCGCAGAACGTGTGCACTGCATGCTGACCGTCAGCATGGCAGCATCAGCATGCCGTGCACACGGGCCGTACTGCCAGCGTGGGCACTTAGACAAAACAACTTCGATAATTTACTTAGCTTCGTAAGTTAAACTTTTCATTCGTGCGTCAAACAAAACATAATGATGTCGTTTTTCCCCCATTCTTTTAAGTATATCCCTGTAAAAGTTTATGCCTTATGCCATATTAACTTAGGTTAGTAATAATCCTGGTACTAATATAATCGAGGTACCAATTATATATGCATGTATACACCGATGACATCTATACGCGTTGGTATACTTGTATACCATCATTCTCTGGTATGAAAATAGATTTCGAGGTTTCCGTGAAGTACCGTGCATGTACATATATGCATGTGGTGTTAAAATAATAACTTCACAGTATACAATTGTACATTCCCTGTATACGAATACATAGATACGAGCTTATTACGATGAAAAGTAAATCAAGCAGTCGAGGAATCGATGGCATTTGAACCGATGGCATTTTGGCTTAATCGTTGCACCTTGAGCTAACCTGAGTATCAGGCCGTACTTTTTAGGGCACAGGCTAACCTTGAGCCTGCGATGCGCTAACGCAAACTCCATTTCTCGACGAAAAAAAACGAGGGGGATTTAAGACACTTGACCTTTCAGGTCAGTGTAATTAGACACCACATAAACATATTGCTGGTCCAGTTGTGCGTAAGGATGCAACTATCCGACAAAGTCGATAATTTACTTAGCTTCGTAAGTTAAACTTTTCATTCGTGCGTCAAACAAAACATAATGATGTCGTTTTCCCCCCATTCTTTTAAGTATATCCCTGTAAAAGTTTATGCCTTATGCCATATTAACTTAGGTTAGTAATAATCCTAGTACTAATATAATCGAGGTACCAATTATATATGCATGTATACACCGATGACATCTATACGCGTTGGTATACTTGTATACCATCATTCTCTGGTATGAAAATAGATTTCGAGGTTTCCGTGAAGTACCGTGCATGTACATATATGCATGTGGTGTTAAAATAATAACTTCGCAGTATACAATTGTATATTCCCTGTATACGAATACATAGATACGAGCTTATTACGATGAAAAGTAAATCAAGCAGTCGAGGAATCGATGGCATTTGAACCGATGGCATTTTGGCTTAATCGTTGCACCTTGAGCCTGCGATGCGCTAACGCAAACTCCATTTCTCGACGAAAAAAACAGAGGGAGGGGGATTTAAGACACTTGACCTTTCAGGTCAGTGTAATTATACACCACATAATCTTGAATTGCTGTGCCAGTGTAGGTAGTGCGAATGATAACACGCTTTCGTTGGTAAGGATGCAACTATCCGACAAAGGGCCTTCGCTCAAAACGTCGAATTTCGCTTTGTATTTTTCAGGTAGTTGCATCCTACCCTGGGTATAACCGCAATGAAATAAGAATAACAAAGTTATAATCTAAAATATGCATTGGGAATTATTGATATTATTATTTGTTAGTTGTATAACACAGCTAAGAGGACGTGTTACATTATTTGAAACATATACAATGCATTTCTTTATCTGAGTGAGGGTCTTCTATAATACCGCAGTTTTATTGAAAAACGTAGTGCCAGTGGTATTAAAGCAGTAGGAGACTCTTAAATTTGATCAGAGATATTTATTTCTATATATAAAAGTAATATTTTACCTTGTATTAGACGAAGACGTTTGTTTCCAGGACAAAATGACCCAAAATTGTTGAATTATACTCCTGTCTGAAAACTCTGTCTCGTTTCTTTTAGTTACTTGTGCGAATTAGAAAGAAGTGGTCCTCGGCGTGAAACAACCAATCACCGATTGTGTTTTTCTTAACTTGTCATTATTGTCAATATCACATCTCGTCATCTGTAACGATTATTGTCAATATCACATCTTGTCATCTGTATATTTTGTGTGGGTGTATGTAGAGCGTTTGAAAATGACGTCACAACCGCCATGTTGGTGTTCCAATTCGAAATAATTTTTAATTAGACTCTTTTGTCTGGATTACCAACATGGGCGCCATGGCTTTTGTTGAGTTGGTCCCTGGGGAGTGAGTGCAAACGCTCTATTAAAAGTTTAGTGTGTTGATATATTTTGTGTGGGCGTAAAAGTTTATATTTCGTCGTTGAAAAAATAGTCAAACCGGTTTGACGTCCTCGCTAATTAAACTAAAAACCATTTTGGACCGGTCCGGCTAAATTTTGTAACAACGCCAATACGATTAACAACACTGTGCGAATGAGGCATTAATGTGGGGAGAGCGATCCTTTAATAGTCTGCACTGATAAACTATATTTGTTCATATTCTTTTTCTATTTCTTCAATTTCGCAGAAACGAGTAATTTCGCAGCGGCCTGTGGTCGTGCTCGTGCTTTTGCTGACTTCGCATCCCGACCCAAGTTTGAGATGGGCAGTTCGACGTCACCAGAACCCAGTCCTAGCGCGCTCGATGTGGATAGATTTGATTTTCCTGTCCCACAGAAAGATTCAGATGCAGATAAACATCGGTTTGAAAGTGGGGGACGTTTTTACGAAGACGAAGTTTTGAAAACTGCCAAGAAAGATATTGCGGCTTTTCTTGGGTTAGAGGTACGGTCCATTTAATTTAAGAGCCTGATACTCAGGTTACCATGGATCTTGAAATTCAGCAGTACTTGACTCCCAAGTGGTACTTGCCTCAAGTTGTACTTGACTAGTGAAAGGAAGTCATCTAAAACAACAAAGAAATAATAGCCAATATAACGACTATTATAAAAGCCAATGAACTTCCCTATTCCTATTCATAAACACACTGTATCTGGTTTCTTTACAATTTTATAAGTGTGATTTTTAGCTGACATATGTGTGCCTGAAAGGCACATTTGCCCGTCTTTTGACTGAAAATATTTTACTAAAAGCTGATGTAAGAAACGATGAAACTGACTTTGAAACTGACTTCGCACAAAATAATATTGTTTGTACTGCGGGCAATTTTGGCTCACAGTCAAAGACACACATTTAATACCCCTGCAGACCTCAGAAATATAATTATTGACGACTTTGAATTGAGTCTTTGTAATTCTCTATGATCATAGGAAAAAGAGGAAAGTTTACTTGACGATGTATTGTGTTCTGCTGTGATCCCAAAAGGAACGCTTCTCGTTACACAAGGCGAAGTGGTGAGAATAGATTGATTAGTAATGCTTACAACATGAGCGGCCGTGTTGTATGAGATATACAAACTCGAGCCGAAGGCGAGAGTTTGTATATCTGATACAACACGGCCGCTCATGTTGTAAACATTACTTAAAAAACGACTCATCTTATGAGTTCATTGGCGAAGTAATTTTAAAAATAAACGTTGTCTAAGCCGAGAAAATCAAAGTTATTTTTAATAATAATAATTAATGGTTTATTAACATATTTTCGCACCAGAAAGTTTATGTAAATCAACATGAATCTGTATCACATATACAGATACGACAC